AAAAAGTCATTTAAATTTTAATTATTAATCGTTGTTTTTATTTTTTTTTGAAGGTTTTGTGGGAGTATAAGAAATATGATAATAAAACAAAAATATTCTTCTATTAAAATTAATTAAGTTGATATACTACAAGTGCTAAAATTGATCATAATAAATTAAGAATAAATAATCTGAATGGTGGAGTGAGGAAACCGATTAAAACCGTGTTCTTATGTTCTACAATATTCTTGTAAAAAATGACAATAAAAAAATCATTTATCTTTTACATTTTTTTCCTGAAATAATGCAACCTTTTCCATCAAAGATTTTTTCAAACATTTGAAAGAATTGTAAACAGTAATTAAAATGTCTTGGTATTTGTTTCTTTCACTGTGTTCCGTCMTTTGTCGAAACAAGTAGATAACTGGACAATTCGTACTTCTCCTGATAAGTATTATAAGTCGTTAAAATATAGGATCTTTTTTTTACAATCCTGTAAGGTAAAATCCCCTCAAAAAAAATTCAAAGACATGTACAACTGTATGAGCACGGTAATAAGCACAAGCTTATTAGCATAGGTTTGTATTATCATTATAGAAAATAAGAAAATCGACGCTACCATATAATTCTTCTTTTTTTTTCTGTCCTATCTTCACGCTCATCGGACTTTATCAAGCAATCTTTACGTCGCTTTTATTACGCTTACCTCGTTGATAAAAAATAAGATTTCTCAAGAGATTTATCATTAGAAACGTCTATGAATATATGTACGGAGTGTACTAAATAAACGTTTTTAACTAGAAATATTTCCGTCATTTGAGATTATACGTGCAAAATTCTAAACAAAAGCTTGCACACAATTTGAAGATAGTTCTTGATTTTATATTACAAATTTTTTTGAGATTTGAAGAATGGATTTCTAGCATTTTATTTGAAAATACAATCCATTAAATTGGATTATGAAGAGATCAAAAGGTAAAAAAAAAGCTACATACTCTATAAATGATCATTAAATTTATTTTAATAAGTATCAATATTATATTAGTATTCAATAATTTAACTTTTAAACAAAAATTATCGTTGGAAAGTAATTTTTAAATAAAAAATATTTAATTCAATGAATTTTCATACTTTATTATTAACTAAATCGTTTTTGAAAGATTAACTTGGCTTTTTAAAGTTTTATTATACTACATTTATAATATCGTAAAAAAAATAAAATACAGAACGAATTCTTCTGAAATAATTATATTCTATGGCGCCTTTAAATAAAGTACGGTACTGTATAATACATAATGAATAATCAACAAAAGTATGAATAGGCATTGAAACCAACTCAAAGTCTGTGACTGTGAATTTCTTTTTTTCCCTTAAATTTTCGAAGGAACTCTCTTAAATCAGTTAATACTACTGATAATTGTAGAACGTATTTCATTGTTGGTGTTCGATTACTTTCTTGAAACATTGTATATACGTGCGAATGTGAAAAAAGTTGAATCATTCAATCGATCGATGGTTATAAAATATAATAATTTGCATTAATTAGACCATTACTAGTTTATGTAATTTAAAAAGGAATATTCATTATTTTGCGACGAGAAATACAAACGAACGTAAATGACAAACAACAATGGTAAATAAATGATTACTAAATAAAAATTAAATGTTTGAAGTTAAAATTGTCTACTCGCACAGGAGTGAAAATGAAAAGTCGAACAATCTGTTTTTTGTGGTTACTGTGTTACGTAAGTCGGACGAGAAAAGAGACGCAAAATAGAATTTAAATACGAGAAAGAGAGACAAAGCATATTTTACATATTATTGCCTATTCTCGTTTTTTTTTTTGCTTATTTTTTTACGAATGATAGAATGCGTTGCAATCATCCCACTACATAAGTTGCAGGAAAGAGAGGAGAGGCTATAAAGTGATGAGTAATGTATAATTTGCATTGATTTACTTTCAACGAGCAAAAGACAATGTTATTATTCAATTACATTTAAACTAACTACGAGTATGTATCATAAGTGTTTTGCATAATTGTAATATGCATATTACGATATTCATACGACTAATCTGAATCTTTGAAGATCTATCTACGTATTTAGATTCAGATGGAGAAAATAGAAAACTAAATTATTTGTGCGTCGTAACAGAAACCTGGTTTTTGATTTCTTATTTTTACTACTAATATATATAATTATATAATTTAATATAAAAATATAAAAGTTTAACTGTTATTTAATTCATAGGCAAGATGTAAAAAAATTTATTGTTTCTAATTTTTTTGTAAAAATTTTAATATTCTTTCCTGTATTAGTTTAAAAATTAAGTAATGTTAAAAGATTTTGTATACCTTAAGGATAGAGAAACTTATAGAAAAAATAATCCCCCTACGAAGAATCGAACGTTAATAGCCAGATCGAGAAGCAGAGACGATAATACTTACACTAGCGCGCCATTTGCCAAATGTTCTATTTTTGTCTTACAATTTTTATGAATTTGAAGTTGATTAGAAATGCATTACTGTTTTCTTAAAAAATAATAAAAATGATTTAAAATTATGTCTAGACAAAAAATAAATTCCCCGTTTTTGGAATATCCTTTCTTGTATATCTTGAATTAATTATATGCGTAGATATAAAATTCTTCTTTTTCAAATATGTATTCAATTTGATACACAAATAAATTTTTACGAGACAACAAATCTGTAATTTAAAATTTTCTAAAATACATAATTTAATAGGAAAAATTTTCTAATTA